GGAAAACAGTGTTGTGGAATACATGAAGAAGGCAGAGACACGCCTAGACGAGGAGGAGGAGCGTGTCAAGATGTACTTGCATACCGATATTGCCATGCCCCTGAAGAAGGCGTGCAACCAAGTCCTCATTGCGGAACATTCTGGGCTCCTCCGCGACGAGTTCCAGGTTCTTCTCGACAACGACCGAGAAGAGGATATGGCTAGGATGTATAGCCTTCTGTCTAGGATACCAGATGGACTAGACCCTCTACGAAGCAAGTTCGAGGCCCATGTGCGGAAGGCCGGTTTGGCCGCAGTCACCAAGGTCTCTGCGGACGTCGAAAAGCTAGAACCCAAGGTCTACGTCGATGCGCTGCTTGAGATCCACACACAGTACCAGGGCCTCGTCAAGAGGGCCTTCAACGACGAGGCCGAGTTTACGAGATCTCTGGACAACGCCTGTAGAGAGTTCGTCAACCGCAACGATGTGTGCAAGTCTGGGTCCAACAAGTCGCCCGAGCTGCTGGCCAAGTATACCGACGTCTTGCTACGGAAGAGCGGTACCGGTATCGAGGAGGCCGAGCTGGAGAATACTCTGAGCCAGATAATGACTGTGTTCAAGTATATCGAGGACAAGGATGTCTTCCAGAAGTTCTACTCCCGGATGCTGGCGCGGCGGTTGGTGCACAGCAACTCCTCCTCGGACGATGCGGAGACGAGCATGATCAGCAAGCTGAAGGAGGCCTGTGGTTTCGAGTACACCAACAAACTGCAGAGGATGTTCCAGGACATGCAAATCTCCAAGGATCTCAATGAGGGATTCAAGGAGCACGCAAGGGCCCTGGACACCAAGGTCCTCGACTCGCAGTACTCTATCCTCGGCACTGGCTTCTGGCCGCTAACAGCACCCAACACGACTTTCAATCCCCCGATCGAGATCTCAGCAGACTGCGAGCGGTTCTCGCGCTTCTACAAGAACAAGCACGAAGGTAGGAAACTGACTTGGTTGTGGCAGCTCTGCAAGGGCGAGGTCAAGGCGACCTACTGCAAGAACACCAAGACTCCGTACACCTTCCAGGTCTCGCTGTACCAGATGGCCATCCTTCTCTTGTTCAACGAAAAGGACCACCAGACCTACGATGATATCGCGTCGACGACGCAGCTGAACAGCGAGGCTCTCGATCCTTCGCTCTCTATACTGTGCAAAGCCAAGGTCCTACTCATGAAGCCGGACGGAAAGGTCGGCCCGGGCGCGAACTTCGTGCTCAACTACGAATTCAAGAGCAAGAAGCTACGGGTGAACCTGAACGTGGGCATGAAGTCCGAGACGAAGCAGGAGGAACAGGAGACCAACAAGACGATTGAGGAGGATCGCAAGCTTCTTCTTCAGGTGAGTCTATTTTGTGCGTTTCACAACCAAAGAAGTAGTTCTAATCGCGTTTCACAGTCGGCCATTGTCCGCATTATGAAGGCTCGCAAGCGGATGAAGCACCAGCAGCTGCTGAGCGAGACGATCAACCAGATTCGGCAGCGGTTCGTGCCGAAAGTGAGCGACATCAAGAAGTGCATCGAGATCCTGCTCGACAAGGAGTACCTCGAGCGTCTGGACGACGACGACCTTGGATACCTGGCTTAAGCGCATTGTGGCTGGCATGTTATGTACGAATAGGGGCTGGGTGTCGTCCGCAGCCGTCTAGCACCAGCACGGTGACTGCTGTCTGAGTGCTGGTCGAAGGAGGCTGGAGTGCGGCAAGGGTGCAGCTTGATATCCGGTCTTTGTGCCTGGCCGGGTTACCTTGATTTGCACGTTATGAGGTGCTCCAGAGGCAGTATCGTCCTTGAGGTTAGGGTACAATGGGGCGCATAGAGCAAGCTTTTAGGTTGGTCGACATGCGGCCATAGGGGCAGCTAGACATAGCTGCGCTCGAGGTGTAATCATCTGTCTGCTGGCCTTGCTCATCTGCACGGCAGTTCCCAATGCACCGTTGTAGGCTGATTCTGCATCAACCGCGGGATAGCTCTCGCGGTCAGGTCAGAGTGGACGTCGAACCAGTGTCTTGTCAGTCTTAGGCGGTCGGTTGATAGCATTCGTCTCTTATCAGATCTCTCCATATCAGATCGGGTTAAGGGACACACGATAGACTCAGTAGCAATTGAGATTCCTTAAACTTACCTTACCTTAACCCTGGCCGTTGCTTATCCACAAGAGAGAGGCACGACTCACAAGCCCCAACCCAGACATGCCGCCTGACTCAACCACCCCGCTCCCCGGACCCCATACCCCCCACAAGTTCCTCGACCAGCCGGCCGGGAACAACTCCGTCCCTCCAGACATCGCGAAGCGGACTTCGTTTTCCGCGGCCATCGCGCGCCATTGCGGCATGTCGGTGGCCATGTCCACGGTAAGTAATAAGCCATAACCTAGTCTGGTATATATGTAAGACGGGCACTCTTCTTTTCTCCGCGCGTTCTAGTGAACGTTCCGCCTCACACCTACCCGAACACTCTTCATCCAAGAAGTTCGAATCTGTAACCGCGTGACACACACAACACACAACCATGTCTCCCCCCTCCACCCCCAAGCGGCCGGTCCGCATAGCTGGCTGCTCGGGCGGCTTCACCGACCGCGCGCGCGCCATAACAAGCCTCGCAGCCGACCCGGACGTCGACGCCGTGATCGGCGACTGGCTGTCCGAGATGGTTCGTTTATCCCCCTCCCTCCCTCCCTCCCTCTCTCCTTCACTCCACCCGTCCCATCCAGTTTCTGATCCTCGGCGTCCGCCGGCGGTGGTTTAGACAATGACAGTCCACGGCAGCGGCAAGGTCCGCAACCAGCCCGCCGCCGCCCAAGCGGACACGCTCGAGGCCCGGATGGCCACGGCCATGTACGCCGAGACGTTCCTGCAGTGCTTCGAGCCGGCCATCGAGAACCTGGTCAGGAACGGTGCTAAATTGGCGGTGAACGCGGGCGCGAGCGACACGGAGCTGCTGGCGCGCGTGTGCGCCAGGATGATCGCCGACCGGGGGCACGGCGACAGGCTGAAGGTGGCGTGGGTCGAGGGCGACGAGGTCACGGACCAGGTTAACCGCTTGATTGGGAAAGGGGAGAGGTTTGAAAGTCTTATGCACGGTAAGGCGCTGGAGGAGTGGGGGCTGGAGCCGGTCTGCGCGCAGGCGTACCTGGGGGGGATGGGCATCGCGGAGGCGCTGAGGCGGGGCGCGGACGTGGTTATCTGTGGGCGGGTGGCGGACGCGGCGCCCGTGGTCGGGATGAGCGCTTGGTGGCATGGTTGGGGCGCCGGGCAGTTCGATGAGTTGGCCGGGGCGCTGGTGGCGGGGCATTTGATCGAGTGCTCTGCTTATGTGACTGGGGGGTATTTCTCCGGGTTCAAGGAGTTGATGAAGACGGGAAAGCATGTTAATATGGGGTTTCCGATTGCGGAGGTTGATTTCAGGGGGGAGTGTGTGCTTGCGAAGGAGAAGGGGACGGGGGGTTGTGTGACTGTTGAGAGTGTTACGAGCCAGCTTGTTTATGAGATTCAGGGGCCGTGGGTTTTACTTCATCCACCCGTGCGAGGGATACCAAGTACTGACGGTGAACAGATGGTACTACAACTGCGACGTCGTAGCCGACCTGCAGGGCATCCAGATGGTCCAGCTGGGCGAGGACCGCGTGCGCGTCAGCGGAGTCAAGGGCCTGCCCCCGCCACCCACCACCAAGGTCGGCATCACGGCCCCGGCCGGGTTCCAGGCCGAGTGGCACATCTACCTGTGCGGCCTGGACATGGCCGAGAAGTGCGCGGCCACGGAAGCCCAGGTCCGGTACGCGATCGGCGAGGAGAACATCGCCAGGTTCACCACCCTGAAATTCCACCAGAACGGGACGAGCCCCGTCGACGCCGAGAACCAGGACCTGGCCACGGTCGACTTCCGCATCTTCGCGCAGACGCGGGACCCGGAGCTGCTGCGGCCCGACGTGCCCAACGGTTTTAATCGGTGGGTGCTCGAGCTCTTCCTCCAGAGCGTGCCGGGGGCGAGCCTGTCCAACGACCTGCGGCAGACGGTGCCCAAGCCGTACTACGAGTACTGGGTCTCGCTCCTGCCGCAGGCGGAGCTGCGGCACCGCGTCCACCTCCTGTTCGGGGAGGACAACCGGATAGTCGACATGCCCGCGCCCGCGCAGACGCGCGTCTACCCGCGCCGGCAGCCCAGCTACGAGACGGCGTCCCCGCTGCCGCTGGACTCGTGGGGGGAGACGGCGCGCGCGCCGCTGGGCCACGTGGTGTACGGGCGGTCGGGCGACAAGGCGTCGGACTGCAACGTGGGGTTTTTTGTCAGGAACGACGACGAGTGGGACTGGCTGCGCAGTCTGCTCACGGTCGACAAGATCAAGGAGCTGTTAGGTCCGCACGAGTACAAGGGCAAGCCGATCGACCGGTTCGAGATACCGGGCGTCAGGGCGGTGCATTTCCTGCTGCACGATCACCTGGACCGGGGGTATAATGCGTGCAGCAACTACGATACGCTGGGGAAGCTGGCTGGGGAGTATCTACGGGCCAAGACGGTGGATGTGCCGAGGCGGTTCTTGGAGAGGGGGCGGATATAGGGGGGATGGAAGGGAAGGGATGTAACATCAACGGCTCTGCTTGGTTCGATGGTGTAGTTGGTTTATCACGTCAGTCTAACACACTGAAGGTCCCCAGTTCAAGCCTGGGTCGAATCATTGCGAGGACACTCGTCTTTTTGCAGTCTTTTTGCAGGGGGTGACGCTTTGTGGGTGGATAGGGTGGGCCAGAAGCGTACCATGAGTCGTGCTGCTCTAGTCCGAGTTCTGTTCAGTGAAGGTGTGTTCATTCTGTTGGTCCGACGGACATAAATCCGATCCTAGCAAAAAATAACTATCGACATGCAATGTACGTACCATACATGCAGAGCAAAAGTCTCGGATACGGGGAGTCGAACCCCGGGCTGATGAGTGAGAGTCATCGATGTTACCGCTATACCATAGCCGATGTGGTAAGTGAACAGAGTGGGATTCGAACCCACGCCTCTTGCGAGACTACGAAGCGGGTGGTGGTGGTCCTGGAGGGATCACCGGTTACCTGAACGTAGCGCCTTAGACCGCTCGGCCATCTGTCCTGCTCGATTGATGAGGGCGGCTCCGTTATTGGGAGTTGTGGACCCTACCTAGCCGGTAGCCATGACAGGGGCGCTCACAGCATGTGGAGAAGAGCACGTCGACGGTGTGATGAGAATCAAGAGGCATTGTCATTAGACTTGAACATCCGGCTCGGCCAGTTGCCCGCGGCCGTTCATCTACTTCGTCCATTTTTGCTGTCCCAAACAGCTACAACAGCCTGGGATACAGAGAATGGCTCCACTCTTGCGCCTCGGTCGCCGTCCGTCTAGCCTTCTTCTCTCCAACTTAGTCTCCGTCACTTCCAGAGTAGTAAAGACCGTCTTCGCGCCGTCGGTACGGCAAATCGGAAGCACCGCGTCGAGCAGATCGTATGCGTCGTGATGATCTTCTTAAAGCAAAGGTATCGTATCATCTGCCAACCAGCGACGACGCCCAACGCCGTAGCCAGGTCCCTCTTCCGGCGTCTTCTCTTTCTCCCACGTGGCGTGCCCGGCGGAGTGAGTGTAGGGACCCTGCGCCCTTTCCAACGAACGTGTGAGGTGTGGCGGATTAAACAAAACAAGCCGAGTGTCGTCGTCGCTCCTTCGGAGAGAAGCTCGAACGGACAGGCTGTCGCATAACGCCTGGTCATAAGCCCGCCGGTGACCCCTTTATGAACGCCATTAAATATGCTCGTGTAACCAACCGAGTCGAGGCAAACCCTCAGGTAATCGCAACTTTTTCGCGGCCAACCCGTTGCCCAAGCGACTCGCGCTCTTACTAGAGAATGCCCGAGTCTTTCAGGGCATTGTTCAGAATCGTTTCCTTAACGGCGGCGAATACCAGCCTGATGTTTGATGTGTCGGTTGCTTGTGTCAGGCTGCGGTTGTCAGCATTTTGTGTCCTAGTTGACCTCTCATACAGCAATGAGACTCACTGAGGATAGAGATTCAGATGCGCCCGATTGACCTGATTAAACCTCCACAGCAGGTATTTAGCGGCTTTATTAACGTCGCTCCCGCCGGAGTAATCCGGGAAGTAGTTTCCCAACGGTGATCTAGACAGCTTCTGCTTGAAAATGTCGACCTTGTTCAAGAAGAGAATGATACTCGTCCTCATGAACCACCTGGAGTTGACGACCGAGTCAAAGAGTAACAGACTCTCCATCATCCGGTTCTAAGTCCGTGTCAGCGAGTGATTCCCCTATCGGGATGTACTAAAGCCTACCTGGCTGCTCTCCTCCAGCAGCACCTGGTCGTATTCACTGAGTGCGACACAAAATATGATGGAAGTGACATTCTCGAAGCAGTGGATCCACTTCTTGCGTTCGCTGCGCTGTCCACCGACATCGAACATGCTGGATAACTGCGTTAGCTTGTCTCCGACAACTTGGGGGGTCGCGCCGACTCACTGTATACTAAGCTGTCCCATCTGAAATCGTGTCTCGTATATACCAGTCGTTTTCGTCCGCGCCCGCAGCACGTCCATCTCGTTAGGCAGGTAGTCTGGGCTCACGATCCTCTCGGCCTCTTGGAAGAAGCTGCGCAGGAAGGTTAGCAAATTCCTCTTCACCATCTGAGAAGTTGCAAACGCACTATTCCGCAGAGTCCATGAGGTAGAACTCGGTCTGCCGCTCCATCAGCTGGTCCTTGGCCGGGTCGTTCCATATCGATATCACGGCCTGGCCGACCTTGGGGTCCAGCTCGGCCTGCGGCCCGGGCTCGAGCGTGTAATTGAGCAAGAAATCACTATAATCCTTGTTGCCCTCGTTCGCGGGCTCGATGTCGAACTGGCGCATGGCGGCGACGACGGCCTTGGCACACTCAATCAGGTTCTTGAAGACGGTCGGTCGGTAGTTGTAGAGTTCGTCTTCGCTGTAGCCCTTCAGGTGGATAATCTTCATCTGCTTGACGATGGTCGACTTGCCGCTCTCGCCGGAGCCTGCGGAGACGGAGCGTTAGTAAAGGGATCGAGGCCTGGGTCGCCCGACCACCTCGAGGGTGCATTCGTAGACGTACCGAGCAGTAGAATCTTGCATTCTCTCCGCAGCCGCTTCGAGTCCTCCTCGAGATCCTTGTCGATCTTCTGACTCCGCTTCTTCAACTCTGCCTCCTCGCTATTTGAGCTCATACACGCACCCATGATCATGGGCAGCGACGGCTCGTGGGCGAGCCCTTGGATCTGGTGTTTCGCTGTGTGGGACGGAATCTGTACGCGATACTCGACTGTTGGGTTGTGGCCGTATCCTTTCTAGAAACCCATGAGAGCGGATGTGTTGGCTCGAGTTTCGGGCTAGTTCGAGGAGGATGAGGGCGGGTGAGTTGTGATAAGGACGCAGCTGCAGAAGCTGCAGAGCTGCTGTCGAGAGACGGGTAGCGGCAGGCAACTTCCAAGATAGGCGGTGGACAACAGAGTTGGTGGAACCGCACAGTCGGGATCGAATCTGACTGTACTGCGGTCGCTTGTTGTCCTGTCGATGTCCCGAGATCGACCTGGGACGAAAGGATGTGGTGGTGGTTAGAGATACGGATACGGGAAGGTAGATGTGTGTCGACCGTCGAAGGTGTGATTAATGAGTATGGGATGTTATCCGACTAGGCGGTTCGCGGCGACACGGGCGCGGTTGAGTCGGGTAGCACAAGATAGCAAGTAGTGGCCCAAACGGTGGCGTGGTGGGCGATGAGGTGTATTAAAAGGGCAGGAAGCAGTACCGCAGTGAGGTGAAGCGCGGGATGATCAGGTGGATGGAAGGGCTTCTTCAATGCTGGCTGGCTTGGCTGGATGGATACACCGAACAGCACAATGACCAAATGCGTAAATGAGACTGCGGGGAAGCGCCCTAGAGTCTACACGGGAATCCGGTCTCCGCAGCGAGGTGTGCTGGGTGAATCTATTCGTAATTGCGGCACTGACGCCGTACTGTACGCCGAGAGGTATTGCAGCAGACAATGCGAGGGGAGTCGATCAATCACGCTCAACCACCAGAAGAAGCATCTCGTCGAGGACTCGAGCTTTCTCCTCCTCTAAAGTTAAGAAGCTACCAGCGCCAATCACCTATCGCGTGGGCATATTGCGGCAACAGCTCAGCACTTTAACTCGTACCGCGCTAATGATAAGCAGGAGGAGCACTTGCAGCACTTGCTTTGCAGGTGGCTTGAAGCTACTGCGTGGTAGATGGCCGCTAAGGCCCAAGACAGCAAGTGGCAGTCCGGCGCTTGGCTTGATGGCCATTTCAAACGCTAAAAACGAAGCCCATACCACAGGTAAAAACGGCATCCCTGGATTGGACTCCAGGGGAATGTGAATCGAGCATTTTGCACTCTACTGACGCTCCAGCACACCGGAATAAGAAAGATATTCACGGCAGGATGGGTCTTGGCCGAGGAAAGTTTTTTCGTGAGGGTTACTCGGCACCGAAGATGGAGACTATTGGGTCTCAGCTTACAGCATCTCCCCTGGCCTGGACTGCCATGGCCACCTGGGCCATCACTGCCGCCTCGGGAACGATCCGCAAGTCGTCGAGTCTGCCTCGGTCATCTGGGAGATAGATAGCGGAATCCCTGTTGTCGAGATGATAATCGAAAGCTTGTCTACGACCCCTGCACCCCCAGATCGTTACCAACAAGTCTATCTGCCTTCACGTCGAGGTGAGCTGTGTTGCTGCTCGCAGAAATATGCAATGTGAGGTTGAGAACGGTCATCTTGGAGAAACCTAACATACCTACGTGTATTTAGTAGGATTGAAGACAACCTAACCTAAGCCAAAAGTCGATTGCATGACGTTTCATGGTCCAGATCTTAGACAAAATGGACCCCGAACCTTACGGAGGCACGGCTGAACCACGTGTCATTCCAGCGGTGTCCCAATGGCGTCCACGAACAAGGAAGGTACCCGTCGTGCCGTCCACGACTCACAGTTCCATTCCCTCAGAATCCCACGAGCGTGGTTCACCGTTCAACTCGGGCAACGTCGTTCGTGGAAGCTTCCTGTCTCGTCCACCCCCCTGAAACTCGATGCTTCAACGACCTTCGGGATCGACGATTCGACGAGTGTTCGATTGACACGCATTATCCGGGGTACGAAGGAGAGATGCCTCAAGTATCCCAGTCGGCAGTCATGCAGCCAGTCAGCCACACCCTTGGCAACTTCCCAAACCTCTACCGACAATCAAATAATCAAATCGACCCTGGGAGGTTTCTTTGTTCCATCACTAGTTCTAGCCCCCGTCTACCTAGACCATCGTATCACTCGCAAATCAGGAGCCATGGTCATCGATTAACCTTTCTACCATTTCCAAGAAAAAGAATCTCAGCTCCGAAACCCACAGCTTCGAGGCCATTGTTCGAGGTAAGAGCAACGAGTCCGAGCGCCTTGTGTCCCCTTCCCGTTCCCCGGATTGAGCCGTGAAAATCCAGTTCCTGTGCGCCTTGAAACCTGGGCGAGTTCACCATTTCCGAACACGACGTCACGTATGAGACCGCTGCTTCATATGTGCATGTTTGATATCCAGGAGCTACATCCCGCTTGGGACGTACTTAATGCTGGGCGTAACACGGCACTCGTGAAGAGTATAAGAGACAGCTATCTGAGAGCGCAGCTTTTACATCTCGAATGGCATGGGATGGCCGAGCTGTTGGATAGAGAGCGTCCTAAATAGGTATGCAGCTTCTGTGTGTAGCGAAACCTCCTCGCGGAAAGAGCATCGACATCTTCGTCCCTAGAGTACCACAGTAAGTCTACACTAGAATTAGAGTACGTCAAGAATTGTGACCGATGAGCAGAGCAATTCCCTTCATTACTTCGTATTCGTACCCATGGATGCTGTTTATCTATACCAACAACCCAAACCTCGTACGAAGTAGATATATACCGAACCCCCCCCCTCCCCCTTAGAACTAATCCCCCGGCGGCTTCGTACTGTGCGCACTTTCCGTCCCATCCCCCTCGAGCCTCTTCTTCGGCGAAGCCACCGACGACCCTGGACTATCCGGCCCCGGCCCCCGCAGGAGAAGCCCCTCG